GCATAGTGAGAAGCGGGCAGAAGTGCCCAGAATTGTGACACTTTGGATGTGCAATGTGAAGAGCTGAGGGTGGTGATGAGGAGGTTGGTCATTTTGAGATGCAGATTCAACACTATGTTAAGTAGATACATGGATACAGGAGTCTGAAGATCAGGAAAGAGATGGAGGGAGAGATGTACTCAGGGATCTTTATGGTTGCCATTTTTCTTTAAGTCACAGGGTGGGGAGAGCCAGGAGAGTGGACACTGTGAGAATGAGCCTAGGGCTCACCTGCATCAGGTCAGGGGAATGGGCAGTGAAACAGCCTGGGGCTCACCAACATGGGGAGGGAGTCAAGGGAGTGGGCAGTATTGGCTGGGAGAACAGGAGCTGGGGGCTTTCAGGGGTGTTGTCAGCTATGCCCCAGGCAGCTGCAGCCAGCGACCCTGAGAACAGAGCACAAGAAAGTCCCTGGCAACATCCAGAGCTCCTCCAGGGTGTGCGGGTGCACAGCCCCAGCCAGTGCAGGTGCAAGGTGGGGACAGAGAAAGCAGAGGCCAGGCGAGCACAAGTGCCCTATGGCAAAAACCTCTATAAAAAAAGACTGGCTCATGCTGTATGTTTTAACCTGGGCTAGGGGTGAAGGGAGGTAGCAAAGAGGCTTCCAAGCAGCTACTTAAGCCCACCTCTGTGGGTTACCCCTGGCATGGGACGAGCAGGAGCACCAAGTCACCCAGCACACGGGTCTTGTCCTTGTAGGCCTAGGTCCACCAGAGTGGCCTCCGTACAGACAACTCCTTTACACGTTTTCAGGAAGATCTCTCCAAGGAATCTAAAGAAACAGAAAATGAAACCCCAAGGAAAAAAGAGGTCAGAGTGGGTCAATACACAGTGAATTTTATAGACTTCCAAAAGCCACCAGGAATATTTAAGTCACTGGGTACAGTTAAATGAAACAGGACACAACTCCAGCTTGCAAATCAAAAGTTTTATATGATTCAAACAAAAAAGTTACATTATACACACTTAAATAATAAGTCAAAGTCTGTTACATAAAACATAATTATGACACATTTAAAATTTTATTATTGAAACTACTTAAAAGGCTCAAAGTCAAAAAGATCAAGCAAAATTGCTCAGGCAATAAAGTGCACTAGGGGAACCTGCCTCCTTATGCTCTGCCTCCAACACCCAGAGCCGTCAGCCAAGAGTCTCTACACAGACAACCAACAAGGGTTCTGCCTCTCAGGAGTACTTTTCAGACAGAAACTGTTTCCCAACTTACAGTCTTTCAATAGACAGACAAAAGGGAGGGGTCTTTTACAGAGGGAATTTCTAACTCTAACCGGGCAATGAGTGCACAACAAAACCAGGCTTGACGCACCTATTCTGTAGAAACAAGACTGCTCAGAGAACAAAGTCCTGTGTGACAAGCAGCCAAATACTCTTTATGTTATCCACCAGGACACTAGCAGGACTAACATTACGCTGCATGGCATAATTAAGAAAAATATCTGAATTTGATGCCATTTACTGCATACACATAGTCAAAACTATATGCTGATGAGCAGGAGAACAATGGCAGTGGTGGGGAGAGCATGAGCTATGTACAGTCGGGGTTCTCCTGCAACTGTATGATGTCTCATGACCACAGAACACTCAACTATGGGTGTCCAAAAGGTGAAACCTGAAATACATACACACATACACAAACAGTAGTTGATGCTACATGGCAACTTACTGGGTATCAAGTTACATACTATGAATGAACAAGGTGAGGGTTAAGAATATATGAACACGAAACCTAATTTTATTTGATTATTCAGGATTTCACCTTACCATCATTTTCATAAAAGTAAACACCAATAACTAAAAGACGAAATAAAAATCTAGATATGTATACACAATAAAAAAAATTACCAGGCTATCAAACTGGTACCACATTCCACATGTTCTTATATTTATTTTGCTGCTTGAATTTCCTACGTTTAACAGAAAATCGGTCTCAGTGGCTTCCTGGATGCAGGTGGCCATGGTCTCCTGTACATCTAGCATACGTGCTCACATAGCTTAAACGTGATGTCCACGGTCTATTTTTCTAAGTAACTACAAAAAGCCCCATTTCAAGTAATTTTCTGTTTGATGAAAATTATTTCCTTCCAACTAAAGTCTTTACTATGCAATAAAGAAATCAAAACCTGGGGCTGACTGACCGCACAAGCACCTCACTTCGGATAAGCTATACTTTGGTGGGAAGTTCATCTTACCAACACACATTTCCTTTTTCTTTGCAAAGTTAATCTACCCACAATACAGTATGGATAAGGCCACATCAAAAAAGACGACAACTGACAAGGCGGCTGGGTTTGAACATTTACATGATCTTTTCTGGTGTTACAGGTACCAACAGGAGGCTGAATGGCTTGCTTTCAGCAGAGCAATGGCCCAATAGACAATAAGACACAGGGACACTCAGCCCCTGCAGCAGCTCCAGTGGCTTTAGCTACCCTCTAGGGTATATCCTTCACAAGTCGCATCATAGGTGACTAGTTCTAGTCAAATGAAATATTAGTCCATGGGCTACGCTACGGAAATGGCTGCCCACAGTTACCCTTAAAAATGTTATGAGAAGGCTGATAATAACATTTTTTTCCCTTTTCTGTAAGAGGCCCTCATTCAATCAATTTTGATTCTAAAACATCCTTAGATCTACAAGGCCTGATAACAAGGATTTGTTTTCTGGCTGACTAATGTGCCAAGTTTTCTAAAAGCAGGGTCATTATAAAACTTTGTTATTAAACAGTGAAAAGAAGGCTGTAAAATAATCTAGCTAGAAATTGGTGATGTGAGCACCAATAAAAATATTTTTATAAAAAATAGTATAAAATTAGTACCCTGTCTCATTGCTACAAAACATGAATAGAAAGACTGTAAAAATTCAGATTTTGTAAACTTTATTGCCGAAATGTGTTTGAATGCTGGTGATTTAGATTATCAAATTTTTCTCCATTTCCTTAAAAAAAAAAAGAAAAAAACTTCTGGAACTACAAAATATATTTAACAGGGTCCCAACTAGGAAAGAAAAGTTAACATACTTTCATCAGAACCAACTACCCCAGCGTTTCCCAAGTCCAATTTTCTTTTAGAGAAGAACCTGCCCATTCTATCCCTGAAAAACTCCCTGGGTGACACCCTTGCCGGCCTTTCAGGCAGAGGCCGGCATGGTCACAAGTGGGCTCCCTGGGCTCTCTGCTGAGGCGATCCTGTTCAGTTTGCCAACCTCTGCCTGCCAGCCTGGGATCTTCTTTGCAGTCATGTGGCGCCGGGCGTGCTTCGTCAGGTGGTCACTGCGCATGAACCGCCGATCACATATCGGGCATACAAACTTCTTCTCCCCTGTGTGAGTCCTGCGGTGGCGAGACAGTTCATCTGAACGAGCAAATCTCTTATCACAGCCGTCCCAGCTGCAGCTGAAAGGCTTCTCTCCTAACAGGTAAGGAAACATACCGTAGAAAAAGTAAATAAGCAACACTATAGCAGAGATTAATGCACGTTGTTTTAGAAGTGTATTCACTAAAATTTCAGGAGATAACATATCCTGGTGTGATATGTTATCTGGGTGATTCAGAAGTAGAGAAATCCACCAAAATGCATTTCTTCCCAATATACCTAAGATGTAATATGTCAGGGTCCAAGACATCAAGCTAATCTAATAAACTAATCAAATATTTCAAAAAATATGCAAGTTTAAATAAATCTACTATTACAACTTGGCAGATAAGAAAGTCTCCTGAGCCCTTGGGAGTTTTTATAATAGCAGAAGCATCTTGAAACCCCTCTCTCTAGCAGGCTGTGACATATACCACATGTGTGATCACTGAATTGCTCAACATTCTTAACATGCTGTCATGTGATTTATGGTGTGTCTTCCCATGGACTTAGGAAACTTATCTAGTTCATCCATCCTTGCACAGTTAAGCCCCTGGAATAGCCCTACAATACAGCAGGTAGGAAATAAATGGTTTGGAGTAAATGACTGTTTCTCATTAAAAACTCCATTTGAATGTTTACAAAATAGCACAAGAAGGGGATTCCTGAGAAGCTTCATAGTTTTTCAAACTGTACTTTGGGAAACATGAGAGGAGCTTGTTCGGAACACGTACTGATGTCATTCTGCCAGTCCTTCTACTAAGGGAGGTTCACTGAAAAAAACAGTTAAAACTTCACCTACTCTGGAATCTGAGCTTTGGCGTGAGCTGAAGTTCACCCAGCTAGTCCCAGCAAAAAGCAGAGTTCACCTAGTCACTGAGCTTGTTCAAGAATGCAGAGCAGGTCAACTCCCTTGGAAGCACCACTTCCTTCTGAGGCAGCCACCACGCTCACTATGCCATGCTGACATCAACCCTCGTTTACTAGTGTCAGCTCTTCTGTCAGACACCAGGAACTATTACTCAAGTAATACACAAGTAACTAAAAAAAAAAAAACACACAAAGGAAAATGTGAGACATGTGATAACACACTAGTGTCAGAGGAAAGAAGGAAGATCAGGAAACATTCTATCAACTGATTTTGGGAAGGCCCTACAGGTTTTTTGGTAAGAAGAATGAGCAGAGGATGAAAGATAGAAACTGGAGAGAGATCAAGGGAGGCTGTATTTTTTTTTTTTGGAGAGGTTTTTGCTATAGGGCGCGTGTACTCGCCAGACAGAGAGAGACAGACAGAAAGCGAGAAATCACCCCCCGGGGGGAATGGCCACACCGCAATCCCTTCTCCTCCATTTTCCTCTCGGGATCTTGGGCACACACGCACATGCGCCCGGCGTGAGTTTAAGCCACCGGGTTCGGGACTCGAACCGCGGTTGACTATGTGGGAGTCCAGCAACATAGCCATTACGCTAACTGCTGGTCCCAAGGGAGGCTGTTTTCACATAGGTAGAGAAGCAAGTACATCATTGGTCAGGTTTAGGGCCTTCTCCCCAAATCAGACAGCCACTCTGCAGGGTGGAGGATACTTGAGCTCCTTCTGTAACACAGAAATACCAGACTGAACTGCAAGCATGACCCCTGCATCAGCACTTTACTGTCCTCGTGAGAAACTGCCCTATCTTAAACGCATTTGGGAACAGGTGCAGTAGTAACCCCTGCAGCTCAGCCTTTCCTATGTAATATTCCACGATCAAGACATTCTATGGAAAGAGGCATTGCATGGTCAAGAGTTTAAGAAACACTTTTTTTTGTTTTAAAGAATTATTTTATTTTTTTAATTTGACCAGAGAGGGACAGAAAGAGAAAGTGAGAAAACAAACCACCAGGTCTGGGACTCAAACTGCAGTCAGCCATGTGGAAGTCCAGCACCCTTAACCACCACGCCACCTGCCAGCTCCAGAAAAAAACACCTACTTTTTCTTTTTAGTTTCTTGCCATAGAGCTGTGTGCTTGGCAGAGACAGATAGTGAGAGAGGAAGTAAGAAATCATCCCCTGGGGCGGATGGTCACACCATACTCCCTTCTCCTCCATCCTCCTCCCGGGATTTTGGGCACACTCGCACATGTGCCTGAGTGATTTTCAAGCTGCCAGGTCTGGGACTCAAACCATGGTCAGCCAAGTGGGGGTCCAGCACCTTAACCACCACACCCCTACTGGCACCAAGAAACACATCTTTATTACTGCCTCTGACCTGTTAAGGTACTCATATGTAAGCATGGGTTTGAATCTCTGAAAGGAGAGCTTAACAAGCAAACTATTTAATCACAGGACCCTTAAGAAATAAAATAAGGGGCCAGCTTGTGGTGTAGTGGTTGCGATGCTAGATCCCACATGGCCAACCACAGTCTGAGTCCCAGACCTGGGAAGGTGGTATCTCACTTTCCCTCTGTCTCACTCGAGTGTACATGCCCTATGGCAAAAACCTTAGAAAAACAAACAAAAACCCAACAGAACTCAAATTCCCAGAGCGAAAGCTTCACGCAACACCTGAGAGGTGTGCCCTAATCTACTAAAATGACCCTTTACCAGACAACACACAAGACCTCTGCTAGAAAGCACGGAAACCAGCAGTCCCATGGCGTCGTCTAAACGTAAACTCTAATGAAAGCATAAAACTCAGTTTCTTACCTGCACTAAGCATAGTTCAAGTGTGTGGAACCTTTCCACCATCACAGAAGGTTTTACTATACAAAGCTGACTAGAAGACAGAGAGATCACTAGGTCATTATAGTTTCTTTTTCTTTGGGGAGGGGGAGGTTTTTACTATAGGGTGCGTGCACTCACCAGAAAAAGAGAAAGAAGTCACCCCCCACCCCCAGGGGGGATGGCCACACGGCAACCCCTTCTCTCTATTCTCCTCTCGGGATCTTGGGCACGCACACACATGTGCCTGGCATGACTTTAAGCCACTGGGTCCAGGATTCGAACTGCAGATGACTGCATGGGAGTCCAGCGCCAACTGCTGGTCCTTCATTCTAGTTTCTTGTATAGTACCTCTTCAATCAAAAAGTGTATGTTCTCAGGACCAGTAGATGGTGTAACAGTTACATCACTGGATTCTGCACGGCAGACTGTGGTTCAATTCATGGAACCAGTGGCTTGAAAGTCACACCAGACACATGTGCATACATGCCCAAGATTCCAAGAGAATAGTGGAAGAGAAGGGATTGCAGTGTGGCCATCTCCCCAGGGGAGGTGATTTCTTGCTGTCTCTGTCTCTCTGGTGTGCACAAATCCTACAGCAAAAATCTCTTTAAAAAAAAAAAAAAAGTCAGGGCCAGCAGGTGGTGTGTTGGTTAAAGGCCCTGGACTCCCATGTGGCTGACAATAGTTTGAGTTCCCAACCTGGTAGCTTGCTCTCTCACTTCTGTCTCTCGCTCTGTCCAGCTCTGTCAAATTAAAATAAATAAAGTTTTGGGACCAGCAGGTGGCACAGTCGTTGAGGTGCTGGACACTTCCACATGGCCGACAACAGTTCGAGTCCTGGACCTGGTGGCTTGCTTTTTCACTTTCCTCTCTCTCTCTCTCTCTCTCTGTGTCTCTCTCTGGTCAAATTAAAATGAAGGAATGAATGAATGAATAAATAAATCTCTTTAAAAAATAAATAAATAGGGAACCAGCAGCTAGCATAATGGCTATGTTGCTGGACTCCCACGAAGTCGACCGCAGTTCATGTCCCGGACCCAGTGGCTTAAAACTCACGCCA